CAACAGCCGCGGCCATGCGGGCGGAAAGCGGCGGATTCGGCCCGGGAGGGGGATTACGCCAGGAGGTGACCTTGACGCCCTCCCTTCGCGGCGCACCTCTCCGTCCGGTGGGAAGGGCGATCGCACCTCTCCGACCGCTGGGCGAGGCGATCAGAGGGGGGCGGGGCCGCGCGAGCGAGTCCGCCGCGCCCTCCCGCCCCCCGCCCACGCGCGCGGGTGCCCGCCGCGTTTCTGCAGCTTCTTTTTCACTCGCCATCGTTCTGCCCCTCAAAGCGAAGACCCCGCGGTGTTCCCGGGCCAGCAACGGTCAGCCCTGGACGAGCCCTGCAAAGCCGAGGCGCCAAGTGCGACCTCGGGCGCCCCGCTTTACTCACCTCGCCAGAAACACAAATTCCACGTCCTTCAAGCTTACACAGCTACCTCCACGGCCCGGCCGGAAGAGGCCACCTTCTCCGCCCGCGGTCAACGGGCGTTCAGCGGCTCAGTCTTCTCCGTCGATTGGCTGGGGCGCTAAGTCCCGCCCTTCCGCTTCCGGCCTCCACGTGCCAGTCTAATCCAGTAGGTTTCGTCGTAGTAACGGAAGTAGGGCATAGAGCCCGCCCACGCCTCCGGAAGAGGAGCATGGTGTATGGAAGTACTGATCTTCACGTGAGTGCGGCCGTGGGACTTTGACGTAAAAAGGTGCTGGCGCCGGGAACTTGGTGAGTGGGGCGGAAGCAAGAAGAGAAAAAAGCTCGTACCTCTCAGATCTGCCCAGGGCCAGATCCCCGCGTCCCTGCCAGGCCTCCTCCGGTTGGGGTGGGCTGTTCATCCCCCCGCCCCAGCTCTGCTCTGGTGGTTCCTGGAACCCCAGGCTTCCCTCGGAAAGTAGCGTTAGGTCGCTTTTCCGCCCCCACATCCCCTTAGTCTTCGGAGCCTCCGTTTCCGAAATGAGAGGAAGGGTTCAAGTCCCAGCAGACTAGCTCTCGCCCTCTTCCCTGCGGTACGAAGCGCGCAGCCGTGCCTGATTCCGAGCCTTCGGCTCCGTCTCGGTCGTCCCCTCTCGCAGCACCGCTGGATCCTTTTTCCCTCCTAACTTCCGTCCAGCTCTGGTTCCTCTGCTGAGCAGCTTTCGAGGCCCGTTACCCGACTTGCCCGCCTTCAGCCTTCTGCAGTCCGGGGAGCACGCTGAAGTGTGTTTTTCTTGATTACTGTCCTGTCCCTTCCCCTGCGCTCTGGCTTGTCAAAATATTTCTAGTTTAATATTCTACCCTTAGAGCCCTACGACTCTCAAAACTTAGCTGCAGTGATGCTTTATTCTTCCTGTGCTTACTTGAACAGTTCTTCAAAGAAAGGCAGCACAAGCCTTTGAATGATTGTGTAATATGCATATTGCCTGTGTTTATTGAATAATAGTTTTTTCCTGTTTCAGTGTTGTGGGTTTTTGGTTGTTTTTGTTTTTTTTTGTTTTTTTTTTTAAACAGAGTCTCACTGTGTAGCTCAGGCTGGCCTCTAACGCAGCTGCCTCAGCCTCCCAAGTGCTGGGATCACAGGTGTGCTTCGCCATGTCTGTCTTGTATGTTTTTTTCCACAACCCTTTTCTGCTTGTCAGACTGTTCATCTTGTAACATCCACCTCAAAAACATCTTCCTTTGAAGCTTGCCTCCTTTACAGAAGCCTATCAATTCCTACTTTCTTGCTTATAATATATACTTTGGTGTGTATTTTAGATTGTTTGCATAACTTCTTTTGTGGGGCGGGTACCGGGAATCAAACTCAGGACCTTGCACTTGCGAGGCAGGCCCTTGTGCCACTGAGCTGTATCCCCGGCTGTTTGCATAGCTTTTGTCTTCTAAATGTTAGCATTTGAAAGTAAGGGTTTATGTATTCTTCTGTGTATGTATGATTTTATATGAGTGTAGCTACTTAAGGACTACTTTCTACATTGAATCTGTAACTCCTTTGCGTGGAGGAAGGTACGTGGTTTGTAGTTTTGAAGAAGAAATCTTTGGAAAAGTGATACATGGAGTAACCCGGGCCTGACATCCCAGCCATCTGTCATAGCTCTGATTCTTGCCTAGCACATTCCTGGAAGATTCTCTTGCCCATTGATTCAGCCGTTTATGAAACCTGGACCACTGTTACATGTCATGGTTATTCTTTGCATTCTTTTTAGGAGACCCAGACATGGCAGCAGTAGAAGAAAGCTTTCCTCGAGGGGGTACAAGAAAGATTCACAAATCAGAGAAATCTTACCAGCAGTCAGTTGAACATGACAACTTATTTGATGTAAGTAGTATGCTTTTTTTGGTGTGAAAATTACTAGAGACCTTCTTTCTAGCATCTTGGTGAAGAATAATCCTTATTTTTCAGTTTTGTTTCTTCCTAAGGTTCACTTCTGTAAATTGAATTTGTTAGACTATAACAACAGAAAAGCCATATCTTTTAAAGTGTGGCATTTAGTATTTTGAGCTTGTGGTGTACTTTGTCCTTAGGGATTCTATGCCATGTTGATTAAGAATGGAAGAAAAGCAATTTGATCTTTTTTTTTTTTTTTTTTGTCTTTTTGAGACAGGGTCTCACTATGCAGTTCAAGCTAACCTTGAGCTCACTTTGTAGCCCAGGCTGATCTTGAACTTGGCAATGATTCTCCTGCCTCAGCCTCCCGAATGCTGAGATTACAGGCATGCGCCACCATGCCCGGTTTATTATTGTATTTTTAAAAGAGGTTCTTATGTTTAACTGTCAGAATTTTCATTAAAACTTGTAGTCTTACCTGGAGTAGACTGTACTTTAGATGCTAGAGGGAAGGGAACTGATTTTTTGAATGTATGGCCTTAAGTCTATATTATGTGATGTTTCCAACTATTTTACATTATAAAGTAGAAATTCCAACTCCACAATAAATACCTGAAGCTCAGGGAGATTATATATTTAGTTGAAAATTACACATTTTGTCATGGAAGCATTGGTGAGTGGGATGGGGTGGAGTGGGAGACTAACAGTAACAGCAAGGTAACAAATGATCCAAAGTGTGGAAAGCAGAAATTGCTACTTCTCATTCTTTTGGACCTTTGTGTGTCATTTTTCCTCTTTAGATTTCCACCGAAGAGGAATCCACCAAAAGGAAAAAGAATCAGAAAGGCCCAGCAAAAACAAAGAAGTTGAAAATTGAAAAGAGAGAGAAGGTCAAGTCTGTAAAAGAGAAGTTTGAGATCCTTGGTATCGAGGTTTGTTAAGTTTGATTTTCTCGTAACATACTACTTTGGGTAAGTTTGTATGTGTTCTTTCCTCTTTCTTTTCTTTCATTCTTTGCTCTCGTACATATACATATACGTAAGTATTTCATGTATGTGCCTGTAGAGATTTTTGCAAATTGTGCTGAGAATTGAGCATGATTTCCTTTGCTTGCTAGTCAGTGCCTGGAATCTCTTTTTTAAGGTGATACGGTCGTCTTCCTGGTGTTTTCACTGGACTTACATATTAGTAGATTCAGAGGTTAGAATTGTCAGTTAACTTTAGCAGTCATTCTAATCCTATACATTCATTTCATAGATATACATCTACCTCAGAGAAGTGGTGTGGCCTCACCTTTCTTAAAGTTTTAGATTATAACTTCCAATATATGGTAGTTATGAAACAGAAAAGAAAGTCAAATAACTCTTAGAGGAAAAGATTCAGATTCAGTCTACAGGAGTGTTTTGTTTGTCCTTCATGCTTTGAAACAAAATTGCTCAACTAGCTATACAATCCTGGTTCCTTGTGAAGAGTTGCAAGTACTGATGTTTGCGGTCACTGGGAGCGTGTGGAGGTTGTACCTATTAGAGCCAGCATGTGTGCCGTGCTTTGCTGTTTTTGTCTGTTATCTTCTTCCCTGTGTCATCCTCTAGGTGTTTGAGTTTGGGTTGCTTGGGACTTGCTACAAGTCAAAGGTGTCCTCTAGCAACTCAGTGCTATTAACGCTGTTGTCTGATCTAGACCTTTTATAGTGTGTGGTGAGGTATCTGATAACAGATATCTGCACATGTATCTATTTCTATTTGCTAAGTATCTATAGCTTTTGTTGTTTATGTATTGTCTTTTTTTTTGTCTTTGAGACAGGGTCTCCCTGTACAGTTCAGGCTGGCCTTGAGCTCACTTTGTAGCCTGGACTGGCCTCGAACTTGCAACAGTTTTCCTGCCTCAGCCTCCTGAGTGCTGGAATTACAGGCATGTGCCACCCACACCCAGCTTCCATGGCTTTTAAATGTCAGCATTGGAGCTTGAAGCTAGACTCCCTAACTTTTCTATCATTGTTTTCTTTCTTATTGTGCACATATTACTTTTTCTTTTCTAGTCCCTCTGTGAGGGAATGCGCATTTTGGGTTGCGTCAAAGAAGTAAATGAGCTGGAACTGGTGATCAGTCTGCCCAATGGTCTCCAGGGGTTTGTGCAAGTGACTGAAATCTGTGATGCCTACACCAGAAAGCTGAATGAGCAGGTGGCACAAGAAGAACCTGTGAAGGTGAGGGAAATCTGGATGAAACCTGTTAGGGGGTTCCCAGCAGATGTAAAATTACCACTTCGCCTAAGCGCTCAACTGAAAAAGCGCAGGTGCCACGAAAACTTGTGATAAGGAGTTTGTGTGTTATTTTTTAAACAATTAAGGGGGCTTTTGACTTAGTCCTGGGAACCAGAAAGACCTCTATAAGGAAGGGCTGTTTGAGCTGAAATCTGAAGGACAGAAGAAAGAGAGTTCAGGCAGAAGCAGCGTGCGGTGTAACAGAGAGAAGACCAGTGTGGTAGAGTAGAGACAGCAGGGAGAATGTGGTGTGGGGTGGGAGAGCTGAGTGGAAACCAGCTGGTACATGGCTTCGCACACCATATTAAGGATTGGTTTAAATTCTAGAAGTTTCTGAAATGTTCTCATAGGGGTGGGTGATGGGTAGACACCATAGCAAATAGATTGAAAAGGTAGGAGAAGTTGCTAGAGATCAGTTAGGAGATAATTTTAGTAGTCCAGGCTCAGAGATTGATGGCACCTTGTGTCCAGGATCTATCAAGGACTGAGGAATAAGCCGGCCTGAGGAAAAGTTCAGTGCTGACAATAAGGCAGAGAGGTTTGGGGGCAGATTCTAGGTCTGCTGTGCATGATTTGATGGGAGAGCTGATCATAACTTGCCTCTTTGGTATGCTGAATTCGAGGCACAGTTGAGACATCCCGGGGATGCTGGTAATGGAGAAGTCTGGGCCGGAGCCACCAATATATAGGTAGTAACTGAAGCTGGGAAGAGGGGTGAAGTTGCTTATGCGTAGCAAATGAGAGTGAGGAGAGACTAAAAGACTGAGTGTAGAATGAAAACATTTTAATTTTAATTGTTACGTTGAAGGAGAGTTGCCTCAGATAAAGCAGTAGAGGCCACATAGAATAAAGGGAGGAAATATTTAAGGAAAGGAGTAGCCAGTAGTATGAAGTGCTTTTTAAAGGTCATGTCAGAGGACTGGAGTGTCACTCAGTGGTACAGCATGTGGTTAGCTTGCATGAAGCCTGAGTTTCATCTGCAGCATGCATGCATACATAAAAAGTAAGTAAATAAAAAAGTATAGGTCACATAAGAAAGGACTGCAAAACAGACCATTGGGGGGCTGGGGATTTAGCTCAGCGGCAAAAGCGCCTGCCTGGCAAGCACAAGGTCGTGAGTTCGGTTCCTGGTACCGGAGAAAAACCAAAAAAACAAAAAAACAGACCATTGGATTTAGTGACGTAGATTTACTGGTGACGTGGACTTGTGATTTTTTGGGAGATAAAGTGGTAGAGTGGAGGGTTGAAAGTGTTTTACAGAGTAGGAGATGAAGTAGAATCAGTTCAATAGAGAAAACTCTTGACAAGTCCTTAATATTTGCCTGGTACTAGAAATATTTGGAGGCCTTGTGTTAAAATTCAAAGCTGTGACTTGGCTGAGAACTGTGTTCCTTTGTAGGCAGTGTGGTTATTAATCATCCACGTTTTGTGTTCTCTGAGGCTGGAGGGTGAGAAGTCATGGAGTCAAGGCTGGGTAGTGGATTCTTGGTTCAGAGAAGAGGTGTGCGTCAGGTCTTTCTCATTCATAACCTGCAGGACCTACTCCACTTGCCTGAACTTTTCTCACCCGGAATGCTGGTGAGATGTGTGGTGAGCAGTGTGAACGTCACAGACAAAGGCAAAAAGAGCGTCAAGCTCTCTCTGAACCCCAGAAATGTCAACAGGGTGCTGAGTGCGGAGGCCCTGAAGCCTGGCATGGTATGTATCTGGGTCAAGAGGAGGAACTGGCCCTATAACTTGCCCTTGCCCTGTGCCCTTGGCATTCTGATCGAAGCCACCCCTTAGTTTTAGCCTAACTACTGTGCAAGAGGCGAGTCTTGTCCTGGAAGGAAGCTGCCTGGGTCCTTGGGTGCTCAGTAAATCTTGAAAGCAGGAACCTGAGTTCATTACACTGGAGAGGAGAAAGGGAAAGCAGGTCCAGCTTTCACTGGTGTCGTAGTAAAATGCCCACAGGGAACCTTTGCAGGGACTTAGTGACAATGAGGAATTCCTCCTCATGCTTCATACGAGTTTTTTCAGAGGCCTCTGGCGTTCATGTGGCGTATTTGAGGCCCCTCTTGGGAGCAGGAGACAGGATAGACAGTGCAGTTCATCTGCCAGCTGTGTGCGTGTGTCTCCCACTACTTTGTATCTACCCCTGTGGAGATTCAGGAAAGGTTAGTCCTGGTGCAGAGCCGGAAGGTGCACTCCTATAAGTACTCTGGTAGTTAAGGAGCAGGAAATTGAGACGATCTTGCAGTGTTTGATTAGAAGCAGTGAGATTTGGGAAAGACCTGGGAAGTTTGGTAGGATTTAGTTGGGTAAAAGAGAGTAATAGTAAGCCAAATTGCAGGAAATGGACAGGTATGAAGAGCCTGTTCCATGACAGATGGTCTTACAGGCACTTAGCTTGCATGGTCTCACAGCCGATAGGTATTCTCTTCTGCATTTGAGGAAATAGTCTCAAAGATGTGACTTACCAAAGACCAAGTAGCTAACGTCAGAGCCACAGTGCTTCCCATGAAATGTGGAGAAGGTCAGTAGGGTTTTTGAGGCATGGAGGTATTTTCAAAGAGACATACTAATGGCTAGAAGGGTAGCTCTGGGTTTTCTTGGTAGCTGTGACTCTGGGAGTGCCCTTGCAAGGCCACGTAGTTTATCCCTGTTTGCATGACATAAGTCTTTTCCCTCTTCTAGTAGGACTGTGGTTTAAGGTTAAAATTGGGAGCTGTAATTATGGGATGGAATCAAGACTGATGGTGGGAACATTCACGTTTGCTATTTGATGTTTGTTGTCCATCCTATAACTTCTGGCTTGGAACTTTTGGGAATGTTTCCTCTTCTCTCAGCTACTGACAGGTACCGTGTCCAGCCTGGAGGACCATGGCTACCTAGTGGACGTTGGTGTTGGGGGCACCAGAGCTTTTCTGCCACTGCAGAAAGCCCAGGAATACGTCAAACAGAAGAACAAAGGTGAGGGCAGGAAGAGAGGCTGCTACCTGGGAGTGACCTGGTGCATGTGAGGGTGATATTTAAATGCAACCTTGGTGAGAAGCATGACAGAATGGTGACCCAAGACTGTCTGGCTTTAGGAAAATCAGTTCTTATCCTCACCAATAGGGAAGGGAAGATATTGAAGGGCCAGGGAGGGCCAGGGAGGGCCAGGGTCTCACTAAGAGCTGATGGGTCAGTTTTCAGTTTTCCTCACCAAGAAGATTCTACTGTAGTTAGGCACCTGCACTCTTACAGCTCATTGGAATTTTGATATTTTTGTAGGGTAGTTGAATTCCAGATTGCTTAGGGCAGCTTCATTCCTTTCTTGTAGCTGGTCCCTTAGAGATTGGGAATGTGGGGAATATTAGATGCTAACTGGGAAGGTGAGTCGTGAATGTTTTCTGGTGTGGCTCAGGCCTGTGTTCAAGGTCCTTCTCAGAGGTGTATTTTTCCTTTTGGGCTTGCCGCTGGGCTTACAGGTGCCAACCTGAAAGTGGGTCAGTACCTGCACTGCGTCATTGAGGAGGTGAAAGGCGGCGGAGGAGTCGTTAGCCTGTCCATAGAGCAGTCAGAGGTATCTGCCGCCCTTGCTACCCAGGAGCAAAACTGGACCCTTAACAGCTTGCTGCCAGGACTGGTGGTCAAAGCCCAGGTACAGAAGGTAAGCTGTTCATGTGCCTGCCATTTTCTAAAAGAAAAGCAGTTCTTAAAGTGCAAATGTGCATGCAGTCCAAACTGTGCTGTTGGGCAGGGCAGCCGCCAGTCACATGTGGCCGTTGAGCCCTTCACATGTGTCCAGTGCTAGTTTGTTGAAAATAATATTTTGGACCTATTGGGTTAAATAAGATATTCCTAAAGCAAACTGCAGAGGACCTGGGTAGCTCAGTGGTAGTGTGCTTGCCTAGCATGTGTGGGGCCCAGTGTTTGATCTGTAGGGCTAGGGGGAAAGAATTCATCTGTACAATTTGAAAATATGACTGCCAGAAAACTTAAAAAGTTACTTTTTTGTTTGTTTTTTTGTCCTTTTTTTTTTGAGACAGAGTCTCACTGTTCAGGCTGGCCTTGAACTCCCTTTGTAGCTGAGGCTGGCCTTGAAGTACAGTGATCCTCCTGCCTCAGCCTCCTGAGTGGTGGGATTACAGGCGTGTACCACTACTCCAGGCAAAAGTTACATATTTGGCTCGCATTTTATTTCTTTTGGACAGATCTTAAAAATCAAGTGATACTAAAAGGCTTATAATGAAGAACTATGTCATTTCTTCTAATTCCTACCTTTACTGACTTAGCTTTTGAAACTTCCCTGCATATTTCCAAATAAGAAGCTTTTGCTCATAGCTCTTCCTTTATTGATCTTAAGCGTTGAGTTTTGTTTTGTTTTTCCCTGCATTTTGGTATATCTGGTCTTAGCGTAGTCCAGGTGCAAAGTGGTATCTCATTGTGGTTTTTATTTGTATTTTCCTGTTTTTTTTTTTGTTTGTTTGTTTTTCCGGTACCAGGAATCGAACTCACAACCTTGCGCTTGCCAGGCAGGCGCTGTGCCGTTGAGCTAAATCCCCAGCCCCTATTTGTATTTTCCTAATGATTAATTGAGTTGAACATCTTTATTAGCCATTTGGATATCTTCTGTATACTCAGAAGTCCTTTCCCTATTTTAAAATTAGGTTGTTTTTGTTGATTGACTTCACTGTCACAAACAGGAGCTTGCAGATTTTCTCCGGGCAACCTCCAGATGTCGTTGTATGTCTTCTCTGGCATATTAGATTTCCCTACAAAAGATCTAGTGATTTACACCCTGGAGGGTATAAGCGTGGCTGAGTGGGAGAAGCAAGACTGCACTTCTTCACATCTATGTGATACTCAGAATGTTTCTTTATCCACATTTTTAGGATGTGCATCCTCCCGTGGTTTGACTCTGATAGAGCTTTCACAGAAAATAAGTTTCCCATTTTCTGTGGGGAAGGAGCGGGATGGACCCTGTGGGTGGGAAGACGAGCTAGGAGCCAACTCGGTTTCTTGATTTCAGTTTCCTCCCTCACAGGCCTCTGGTCATCTTAGCTTTCGGGTGGTTCTAAGGGTGAATCAGTTTGTTCTTGGTCATCTTCTCTCCTTTTTTAGGCACTTGGGTTTCACCTTCTTGGTTTAGACAAATGTCCAGTTGCACAGCAATATATTTGAGTTGCCAGGCTGCAGGTTCCCTAAGGACCCTACGTAAAGCTCCTTACATCTCATTAAGAAACCCAGAGGATGGGAGGACTGATGTCAGCTCCTAGGCTAGCAGGAGGAAGAGCTTACTAACTAGAAGAACAGCCGGTGCTTGGAGTTGCCGTGCCCCTCAGTTTTACAGGAAGAGACAGTGAGGGGTGGTGCAGTGCTGGGTGCCGTGAGCAGCGTCTCTTACAGCCCTGCTCCCTTCACTGGTTCTGTTTGTTTCCAGGTGACTCCATTCGGCCTCACCCTGAACTTCCTCACATTCTTCACGGGCCTGGTTGACTTCATGCACCTGGATCCTAAGAAAGTTGGAACGTATTTCTCACATCAAGCGGTAAGAAATGTTATCCCTATCTTTTCTTGATTCCAGCTGTGTCTCAGGCAGCTGTCCAGTGTCCCTGGTAGCCTCAGGCAGGTCCTGGGACTACAGGTGTACAGCTGTGCGGAGGAAAGGTGAGGGGATGACAAAAAGCGTTTTGGAGGGAGCGCAAGAGCTACCAGTACTTGGGCTGAGGTTGGAAAGAGTTGGCTAGAATGAGGCGACTCCTAGTTTTTACTCCGTATCCCATGAAGTTTGATCAGGGGGTGGGAAATCATTTGTCTTTTGCTATTGTTGTTGTTGTTGTTGTTGTTTTTTGTTTTTAGATAGGGTTTCAGTACATAGTTCTGGCCAGTCTTGAACTCACTATGTAGCTCAGGCTGGCCTTGCATGCATAGGGATCCTCCTGCTTCAGCCTCCCAAGTATTGGCATTGCAGGTGTGTGCCACCATGCCTGGCTAATGATTTGCTTTTATCACCTAAAGTGTTTTGGAAAAGTATTTAACATAGGAGAATTAGATATGTTTAAATAAAAAAGTGCACTTTTAAGATATTCTGGGGTCTAGGGCGTAGCTCAGAGGTAGAGTTCTTGCTTCAAAAAATAGAGTGCATCCAGCTGAAATGCTAGAAGATTATCCAATCAAATGTTAATAGTGATTAACCTGGGTGATTTTTCTACACTTACTTAAATATTGAAATTGTATACAACATGGATTTGGGGTGTTTCGGTTTTTTGTGGGGTTTTTCTGGTCTTTTTGAGACAGAGTCTCACTATGCAATTCAGGCTGGCCTTAAACTCACTTTGTAGCCCAGGCTGGCCTCAAACTCCCAATGATCCTCCTGCCTCAGCTTCCTGCGTGCTGGGATTTCAGGCATGCTCCCCCACACCCAGCTACAACATGGATATTTAGAAAGAAAGTCTAAGTATGCCTTTCCAGAATTATTTTAATTCTCTAATCATTTAAAACATTTTTTAGTGGGGCTGGGGATTTAGCTCAGTGGCACAGCACCTGCCTGGCAAGTGCAAGGTCGTGAGTTCGATTCCCAGTACTGGAAAAAAACAAAAACAAACAAACAAAAAACATTTTTTAGGAAGTAATGCATACTTATGGGTGTTGTAAAAGAAAATAGCTTTTTCTTCCACCTCGTGACAACGCTGTTGGCGTTTTGGTGGCCTCGGTAGTGGTGTTTTGCTTCCTGTGGTCATGTGTGTGCATGAAGTGAAGCTGTTTTGCATGTGTTACCCTCTGGTTAGTGCAGGCTTTGGGGTCACATTCAGAGAAGCCGGGGCTGCAGTGACACCAGTGCGTGCTTTGTCCATGCGTTGCTTCTTGGTGTTGAGGAGCCCCCAGCATATGTTTTCCTGGCCCTGAGTATGCATTGGTGTAGTCAAAGTCCCTCCGGGACATTTTGACTTTTCTACATGCTGCTTGGTTACACAGGCCGACCTTAGTACTTACTTAACTAAAGATTTTAGTACTTATATTTTTGGCCAGCACATAGGGAGCCTTGGCCTTCAGAAAGTCTACTCTCAGCCAGGCATGGTGGT